TAATAAATTATCAACATTTGGCGTTAATTTTGTAAGGGTTAATCTTAAATCTCCTCGGCTAATGTTGTCCAGTCTGTTTCTTTTTTTTGTTAGGAGATTGGTAACAGCGCTGAACCCCCTTTCCACTAGGTATGACGATGGAAAGGAAATTAAAAATTTCCTCGCTATATTCCATAATACGGGATAAGTAACGGGTATGTTGTTTTGCAGCCAGAATTACTGATATCCGTTTTTAAACTGAACCTTAAGTTCTTCGTTTGTACTTAGTTCAGTCAGTTCCTCTTGTATTATGACATTCGTTTCTTCTATGTCACCATATGGATTAATTATTCACCGTGGTATTACCAGGGTCAAAATATCCTCAAACCTAGATTCAAAATCTGAATAGAGGGCATTTAAATGTTGAACGTAAGTTGAAACGTCGTCTTCCTGGCAGCTTGTCTGTGACAAATTGGGGAACTGAGAAAATTCGCCCCGTCCAATATTTTGCTTCATTAGTTTAACTCTGGCAAGAAACGCTGATAAGATGGACTTTGTTTTAATCAAATTTAAACGGTCGCCTTGTAATTGCAAATTAACCATATTAAATTTTGTAAACAAATCTGTTAAATAGGCGATGTCTGTTTTCCTCTTCATTAAATTTTCTTTTAAAATTTTATCTTTAGTATCCAGAAATTCTAAAATAGTCTCAAAAAGTGCAAAAAATCTTGTAAAACATAAGCCTTTCGACAGCCAGCGTACTTCAGTGTGAAGGAGTAATTGATGAAAGTGTTCGTCATTTTCTTCACACAACTGCGCAAATAACCGCGTATTCAACGCGTTGCTTCGGATTCGGTTTACTGCATCAATGACTAAATGAAGTGATTCATGCAATCTAACACTCAAATTTTTAGCAACTAAATGTTGTCGATGGATGAGACAATGTATTGTTAACACCCCTGATACATTTTGTTTTAAGTAGCTTATAAATCCACGATAACGTCCAACCATGGCAGGTGCTCCATCTGTAGCTACTGATATTATATTTGATAAAGGAATTGCTTTTTCAATGAAGTAATCCTTCAAAACATGAAATATTGATTCACCTTTAGTGTCGGTTATCAAAGTTCTTGCGAAGAGCAGTTCTTCGTAGATTTCTTGATTCATAATAAAACGAACATATGTCAATAATAATGCTGCATTATCAGGTAAAGTTGACTAGTCCAGTTGTATAGAGAAATGGGTCGTTTGCAAATAATCACATAAGAAGCTTTCAATATCAGAACTCATTTCATCAATACGTTTTTCAACAGTATTGTTGCTTAAGGGAATTCTTTTAATGATATCAGATGCAGGTTTGTGTAAAACAGTTTTTAAAACCTCTTCAACGGCTGGCAAAATTAACTTCTCTTCGATAGTATGCGGTTTTCCGGATTTTGCTATAAGTAACGAGATATTGTAAGACGCCCGCAAACCATCATCATTTCTTTGTGACGTCGAAGCGAACATTCTGTCCAGTGTAGGTCTCTTCTGAAATTTATCTTTGACTTTTTGAAAGTATTTCAAATCTTTCTCTGTTTTATCAGGGTGGCATCTTCTCAGATGATCTTGCAGTTAAGATGGTTTCATAGCGTCATTGCCCAAAACTTTGTGGCATAAAAGGCACATAGGCGATTGTTTGTCCAGCAATGATGGAATGAAGCCAAATTTCAAATAATCAAAACTGTACTGTCTACATTTCTTTTTAGATTCGGACATGGCATCAGTCATCTGTGGGCAAAATTAAATTATTTAAATAAGACAGAAAATCCAGCAGCTGTATATTAAAAATATATTTTGATTTTTCCGAAAACATTCCATAATTCCAACATCTTCTTGCAACAATTAGCTCGAATTACGGAGATTGCACTGTAATTATATTACCGATTGCTAAAACTTTCAAAAAGAAACTATTGAGGAGTACTCGTGTAATTTTGCATGATTGAATATTTAACTACTAATAACTAAAGTCATGATTGGCGTAATTTATCTATCTTTGCTAACTACGAGTACAAAACTAAAATTTAATAAAAAATAATGTACTTACTTTTCTCCAGCACTCTCAAACAAAATAACACTGACTCACTATAATTTGTGTGATTTACTATCAGTTTATATTTTTTAAAATATTTTCTTAGCACTTTCCTTTTCAAGATTCAGGAAACGAATAAACGTATTTGTCCCACATTCGTATTTATAGAGTGACGAATTGAACAAGTCAGTGCAAGGTAGCGAAGCTCTGAGACTGCGACTCTCAGGTTTTTACAAGTTCAAAATATATTGCGACCACAAAGAGAATACCAACATCCTACAAATTACACAATTTTATAAACATATATAATAAATTTTTTACTTCATGGGTACTTTTATAAATAATGTATATGTTTTGATATTATAAGATAGTATGATGTAAGTAAATAGGTACTATCAGTGAATGTGTTGAGATTCACTATCGTGGACCCCCATATTCATTTCATGGACCCCCAAATGTTTTTTCGCTGACGTAGACCCCTTGCAGGTTGTCATAGACCCCTAGGGGTCGATATAGACCACTTTGGGAATCAATGGCCTAGACAGATGGCATCAGATCTTAAAACCTGAGTGGCTCTATGCTTGTCAACTATGGGGCTGTACCAAGAATTCGGACATCGAAGCTATTCAAAGATACCAAAACAAATTTCTGGGAAGCACGGTGGATGCTCTCAGGTATGGACGTAATAAGGAGATTAATCGCGATTTGAATATCCATGTGGTTAAAAACGACATTAAGGAAGTAGCGGCCAGGCATCAAGAAAGGCTGCATCAACACTTAAATGCAGAAGCTCTTCAGCTGCTGGACAACCACAGTTCTGTCCGATGATTGAATATGAACAAGCCGAACGAATCTATGTAGTGTTTGTATCTAAAGTAGAGCATATACGATAGTTTCCAGAGATAGTATTGAGTATGCGTTAAGCCTATTTCAGGATCAACAATGCTTCTTCAAATTGATCAGTTTTAACATTTGAACAACAAAGCTACTCTAAATAGAAATTAAGATCACTGTGATATTTGGAGAATTACAAGGAGAGTAAGCAACTAGACGTATCGTTTTCCATCATATTTTTAAAGACTTTATTGATGCCCTTTTTATCATTAGTTGTGATATTACTCTTGTATTTGGGCGACACTTGTTGAAAAATACGCTTACACATACCGAATGACAATCAGGTGTCAGCCTTTTACGGAAACAAAAGAATATCAAGTAATTTTTGAACTGTGATCGATCAAATATAGCGTAACATATAAATTAAGTACATAATATTCCCGGAAAAAAACATAACGTCTAGTCGTTCAGCACAAATTATCAGAAATGCAGTGGCTTGAAACGCCCAACGTCTTATACAAATTGTGCACCTGAATGAAAGTACGCAGGTATATACGTTGTGAAAATTATTGTACCAAATCCATATTGGACGAAAAATAATTCACAAGCATTTGGTGATTTGATACCGTGACTAACTAAGTTATGCAAAACCAACCCAATTTTCTTAGTAAAAATTGTTAATTGCTTGAATTTCAGAAATTATTGAGTGCTAATGGTATGTTGAGAAACCGATTAAATTCACATGAAGTAAAAAGTGCAGTGTGGTGTAGAAGCGATACGTAGAGATAGTTAATTGTTATATAACAGGTACCTTTTCAACTGAATCGGTAGTAAGACATAATAAGTGTGTTTTTTTTTGTTGAAAAACAACCAATAAAAATTTATGATGTATTTTTTGTTCTTCTATAGTAGCAGGATTAGATGAAATGATAAAAAACCTGGTCTGCAAGTAATTAATGTCAATATACACAACCATTTCATGCAATTTAATGTTACGACAATTGGAAAATGCAAAATGCAAAATTTTTAATATTCATCTTCACGTTTTACCGTAAGCTTACTCCGTTTCCTTCTCTGACCAAAAATGCAGAAAAGTGAAAAAACAAATATAAAAGTTATTAAGGATTTTCCGCTTACCAAAGTTGATTGAAAAGAGAACTCCAGATTAAAAAATATTCCACACAATGGTTGAGCTTTAATAAAAAAAGGTTATGGAAAATGCTAATCATACATTTTTTTACTACGTATACCCAAAAAATTATAGGAAACTCAAGACCCTTTCAAAAAGACTATGTTTGAAGGTGTTTAATTCAATGCAGCGAATTTAAAAGAATATAACGGCAGTACTAGCTGTGATCTCAAATATTTGTTTATATTATAACTTACCAAAATTGGTGCAGCAGTTACTGGGATTATAAAGTGACAAAAACTGCTAAGGACAAAGCGGTAAACAAAAGGATGTGAATGTTGAATGACATAGCTAAATATTTCTTGATGTTCGGGAGGTCATAGAGGTCAAAATAACTGATCACAGAAAATTTGAGTAAGACATAAAATTATGCGGAAAGAAAAGCATTGGTCGACAGATAAAAGTATTTGTTTGCCTAACACATCTGTCAACTGTCAAGTCAAAAAGTAAAAAATTCACACTCAAAATTCGGCAAATATAAAGAGTTTTTAGCAAAATGGCACTCACCACGTATGAGTAAATAGAGTAAATAGATACCAAATAGCTACTACAAATCATCGGTCGCAATAAGAGTATTATTTTGGAGCCCTACACCCTGTAACTACTTGTACGAAGTTTGGCAGTAGAAGACATTTGCTTTACGTATTGAGATATACGACATATTGTTTTTTAAATAGGGTTTTAAAATCTCAAGGGCTCATTTAAAAAATAATCACTTCCCTATCGCTGGCGTTCCACAGTAACGTTGAATTGCTTTGAACATTAATAAGTTGCATATTGAAAGTGAACCCATTACCGAAATCTCTATTTGTTCGAGGGATATTTCATCATAGAGCTCCCTCTTACATTTAAAAGACAAACTTTCACCTCGAAACCCGAATTCGAAAAAAATGCAAACCGATAGCGGAGTTAAATATCATAGCGTACCGGGTAAGGCGCTCAAAAGGCACATTAAGAGGTAGTTGGTGGATACTGCCATGCTGTCGCCAATCGATGGTTCTACTAACTAGTTCTGCCACACGGTGTTGCACACACACAATTGCAATTTCGGAACGACAGACAGACGGACAGACAGGTCACGAGCGGAACGTTGCTCGCCTCACGATAGGTACCACCCGGCTGGTTCGAAAAAGTACCCGACTGTAAACTGAATCATATGGTACCGCGCGTATTTGTAAAGGTAACATGAAGGTAACGAGAGCTTTTTTCGCGGCCGTCGCAGCCGCCGCCGGTGGAATTTCTGCGGGATGGTTTGCGGTACTTTGCGTACGATCAGCGGTACGACGGCGTCCAGCCGGCAGTTCTAAAATTGCTTGAAAGCTCAGATCCAGTTTTAGGAATTCCAAAATTTCGGGTGGAATCAGTGTCTGATTTGCACAGAAGACCGATATTTATTTCACGGTTGCTAAACTGTGAGAAATAAGTCCGTCATTAACCAATAGCTTTGACTCAAACGTAGATAAGGGTACAAACGTAGCAAATAGGGACTATAAGAATGTCTAAGGCCTAGTGCGCCGAGGCAGTTCCATGAAATAAGGGAAATCATTTATAAACTTGAAAAGATTGTTTTTGTCCCGTAGGCCTTTTCTGTATAAAATGAATGAGGAACAGGAATTTAAGTACAGTGCAGAGACAAGATTACCATTTTCTCAAACGTGAAAGCTGACGATCTCCATGTGCTGCTATTAAAATCAATCAAATGGGTCAAGGTGAAATGTTTTGTTCGAACTTTTAAAGTATTGGTTATGGTTAATGAAATAGTAATTAGCTAATTGGGGTTCGATAACCTTAGGTTTTTGCGAAGGTAGGTGGAGTACCGTGGCAGAGATATATGCAACGTATATAAGTGTTAAAGGAAGATCCTTCCCAGATACTTGTTTAACGAAAGCTGTTGACAGTAAAACAAGCAATCTTAGCAGGCTATGTTAACAAATTGTTTTCACGCTTTGTGCTTTTCGATTCACTTGTGACAAGGATTTTAATAGAAGCGGATCATAATGAGCAAGAATTAGTAATGAGATGTCCGCAATAAACGGTATGGTGCCCATTAATATTCATCATAGTATTGTGACGACTGTCGGAGGATATGCTTGTAATGATATAAACATCACAAAATTATAGGAGGTATTAAATTAAAACTAAAAATTATCAGCTGATTTTAAAGAAAAACGTTAGGAAAGTTAACAAGTGACGTATCCTTCCATCAGGATAATCCATTCAATCGAACCTCTTGCATTGCTATGGTCGACTGACATCAAACATTTTTTGGAATGGTAAATTACCCACGGCACTTGCCAAAATTAAAACATTTACAAGAAAACAAACTTTCAACTATGCAACCTGTGGTATCTGCGGTAGATGGATGCTTTCCAGTAGTTCAACAAGTTGGTTTCCTCCAACATGCTTCCCACAACTCTCCAGTCCAGTTTTTCTGTTTCGCTGTTTCGCAGTCCAACATAATCATTTCCCAGTTTCTGATTATCATATAATTGTGCGGGATAGCTGGATAACTGTCTTGACGTAGCCTTGATCATTATCCAGTAATATACTTTAGTATAGCTTTCAGGCTCTTCAGAGTGATGTTCCCTCTCGTCTCAGGTCTTCTTGCCGGCAACGACACATGTTGGTGCTCTTCCTTGGTTTTGGTCTCCCTAAATCCTGTGATAGCGCTGTTACTATAGAGACCCAAGAATCTTTCCCATGACTGCTCTCAGGCTTCAACTTCCTAAAGTGGTTGCCCCTGATTGTGATTGTGTTTGGTATTTGGTGCAGGTTTGTTAGAACAACCTTGGGTTTTCCACAACGGCACGGGTATCACGTATCTTGAGAAGTGACATTATGCAGATTTTTCTTACATTATGCTAGGTTTTTGACATTATGTAGGTTTTTCTTCAAGATGTTAACTAAGCACTTAGTTGTACGTGTTGCCTAAACGTCATGCGGCTTGTTATCAATCTTTGGCTCTCATGTGATGCAAAATCTGCTTTTGAGATGGCATTAGTGGAGGTCTAAGCTGTAAGTTGTATGTGTTGATGATAATTACATCGGGTTCTTGTCTCAAATATACTTAATTGAGATTCAAAGCTAGAAATTAGTTGCGCATCCACTTTTTCTTATCCATTCTGGAAATTACACTAAATATACAAATTTGCTGAATTTAAAAAATGAGAGAGATAAGAAATAATTATATCTACTGTACACTGTCGAATTACAAGCCATATACATGCTAACAGTAATTACACACAACGCGGGTGCGGTGATGATTTACCGTAATTCTCTTCAGTTTTTCGTAATTTATAACTTTGAACATAACCTCTCTTCAGAAAGCACAACATATAAATAACCCGTCATATTCGGCATATTCATTAATAATTTTCTCACACAGCAAATATTACTGATTTTATATACATGCAGACCAATACATCAATCATCCAGATGCGATCTTGGTATTCAACCATCTTTCTTCTCAGAGATAAAAACTATAGACAAGAACCATTTGGTCTCACAAAACATATGCAACCAATAATGCGTTTAGTTTAGTTGAGTGATTTCTTCTTAGATGGACGTTCACAACGATCCTAGTGACCAAACGTGGAATGACTGTTTGCGCCCTAAAAACTACCTAGTTCGCAAGATGACATCTTATAGGTTTTTTGACGTTTTATAGGTTTTTTACATGATACCCCTGCCGACCTTGCTGATATGTTAGATTACATCGCTGATTGTTTTTTTCAAGGTGAGGTGTTGGCTTAATTTAAGGATCTCTGTACTTTGAATATGCTGTGGCCATAAATGGTCGCATTTTATGAGATGCCAACTAAATTTGACCATATCGCTAAATCGCCAACGTTTAACGATTTGGTGATCCACTATTGATTATATTGCAAAATAGGGTGTCCAATATCTAATAAAAATTAAGAATATGTTACGTACTCGTTTATTGTTCTTTAGGACGACTATTTTGATTAAACCTAATAGTTTTAGGAAGTTAAAGTAAGATAATTATATGAAAACATTCTTAAATTGCACAACGTATCACAAATACATTTTTTGAACATATCAGATATCACAAATTAAGTTATTACCTTACGTGCTTACCCTGTGCTTAACTGTGCTTTATTCGACGTATAACCTAAAAATGTAGTAATCACGTATGAAACTAAATCTGTCGCCAAGGACGGTGTAGCTCTCGGAAATCTAATGGACGAAAAACATGGCGTAGAGTTGAGTATGTATGCATTAAAGAATGTCAAAAAAAACAACATAACCTGCCGCACTCTTTATGTGCATTTTACATGTTGTCATGCTTTATATGTATCTCTTCGTGGTTTATTAATAATATCCAATAGTTCTTCTAGCAACTCTTTCGAACTCTCAAAGTTCTAGTTGTTTGCGGTCATGATGACAGCCACATGACACCAACAAATTGATTTTCTGCGCAGTGTATCCACGAGAGATTTCACCTTATTCTGGCCAGTAGATGATGATACATTTCATGAAATGCGACCATTTTCTGAAATGCTGAATCATTCCATGAACTGGTCAATTTTATCATATGGCCACGACAGATAGTCAACCTCATTCCGTGCCGGTTTGGAAATCGTCTTCTTAGCATATAATGAGGGTTGCTTTGAAACTAAGACACAATCATACTTTTTGGAACTACGTTGACGGTGAAAATAAGCAACCCTGAAACAGGCGTAGAGGACAATGTACAAATCAAAATTGATTAGACTGACCGATATGAATGAGGGTTCCTGTTACATAGTCCTGTACAATGATACAAATAGCACTTGTTCAAATTATCAAGGTTGTTGCAGAAGACAAAATAAAACAAGCCATGCCTAGGTATGAAAATAATTAAATGTTTAAAAACTTTCGCTCTGACATTGATAAATCAGATAAAAGGTAAAATACTATGCAATGACATAAGTTATATTATTTATTACATTTCCTCGGGCTCGTGCACATACTAGTTGTTTGTATGCAAGTATATAATACATTAAATGATAATTATTAGCTCCTTCACAGAAATTTAAAATCAAGTTTATCAGTAATGATGTGAACTTAGTAAAAAGATTAACATAGCGTCTGCCCAGAAGCCAGGTTGTATGCAGATCAAGAAGTTTAATGCTGTGACTATTGAGCAAAAGTAGAGTCGCTCAATCTTTGGGTTAAGAATTTCGCAGGCCATTGGGGATTACTTAGGCATCTGTCCCTCATGCATATAGTAAAATATGTTTTCTCCAACCGCTAGGAGGATGATTGAGCACTTTTAGTTCACTTCACAATTTGCTTCCGACTAGTGCGGCCCTTCATCGCTGCTGGGTCTAAGTTTAAGTCGATTCTTGCTAGATTTGGTGCTTTCTTCCAAATCAAGTTTACCAACCGACCGTTGTTAAATACTTGAACGTGGCCAACACATCTCAATCGCTCTGCTTTGGTACTTTGGACAATAATCACTATCCCCAACAACTGTCTGATTTTGATGTTCGTTCTTATGCGATATCCACCTGTATTTCGGTCACAGAGAGGTTCAAAAATCTTAGGTAATACTTTGTGCTTAAAACGCCTAAGCCGTCGTTCATTGCCTTTCGTTGTCGACCACGCTTCATAGTCATACATCGCATTGGTCTTATTACGGTCTTGTAAATTCTGTTGATGAGCGGATGATATTTCTCCATTCAATGAAATTATTTATAGAAAGCATGCGTCAGTTCACAGATTGCATTCTGCAGAATCCAGTCTGCAAGCTGCTACTAATACACTAGTTAGAAGATAATGGAATTGTTGCATGAGTTATTTTAAAGACCTGATATATGTTGGTTATTTGGCTCTAACTAAATACTGACCTGAGAGTTAATGCTAGATATCAGCCACCAGATTAATACCAGCATTCTAATAACAAAGTTATAACATTGAACTCTATTATGCACAAGCCAGTAAACGACCTTTACAATAATTAGGTATTATTAATAGTTATCTGTATTTTCCAAATTTATTCATGCCTATGAGAGATATATTGTATTTTTTGTTAACGTATTAGTAATGTTTTATCGTCAAGCTTTTTAATAAAAGGAAAAAAATTATTGTTCATTAAAACGCTACTTTAATTAAGTTTGTTTCTATTCTATTTACCTATCCGAAG